ACTTAAAGTTTTGATAATATTTTATTTAAATTTAGTAAAGGGATGAAAAAAGGTTTTAAATTTTTCATTATACTATGTTTACATTAAAATTTTTTTTTTGCACAAACCCTTAAAAAAATGTGAATACGATTTAATCCCTTTGCATATGATCTCATGGTTTGAAGTTTTTATGACATTTAAAAAGAGCCTGACTCGCCATTAACATAATGGATTTCATTATAACAATATACTTTAAATTTATTTGCTGCTTATTATGACTTATTTGTTTAATATGATATTATTTCGAGTAATAAAAACGGACATGTTACTTTCTTAAAATATGTATATGAATCATAAACATTTTACTTTAATATGAAAATAAAAATTATACAATATTACTAAATAATAAATAAAGTCGAGAGTGATATTGAACTGAATCCTAAATATATTTACTTGATTCTTAGCAAATTTTCAGAGCAGTTAAAGTTCTGCATTGACAACTCTGAATAATCACACTTGTACAAATGCAATACATTTCTGTGATAAAAAATTTAACGATCCCAAGATATTATGCTTCAAATCATTATAAGATAATTTATTCCATATAATCAAATGCTTTTTCAAATGTCAACACTGCATGTATTCTTATAAAAATAAAAGAGCAGGTCCAAATACTATAATTATTAAATAAAAGCTGTTCTAACCTTGCAGAAAACCAGTAATTTCTTATTTTAAAAAAGTCACCTTTAATCAGTAAGTTCCAACTTTAATGAAAAAAAGCAAAAGTGATGATGATATTGAAAGATGCAGGCAGGCTTTTTGTACGATGAGCCTTTTCAAACATTTTAAGTAGTTGATTAATGAAGTAATTTTAAGTAATTGATTAGAAAAGCAACATTTTTTTAATAGCAATGAGTCCACAATGTCTAATTTCGCAATTGTTGGTAACATGAAAGGCCGTGGGCAATTTGGACTTTTGATGACATAAATGTATATCATATACTGGTGTTTTCTTGAAAAAGGCATTTGATGCAATCGATTCGCTTGTTGAAGAATAAGTATTGGTGTTTTCATTATAGCCTAGAAAGTTTTCTGGTAAGACGATTGATTGGGATCATATTTAGTAAGTTGTATATTGTATAATCTTATTTATATGGCTGTCAATCACACATTTTTACCGTAGCTTTATGGGAATACCTCACGGAACAAAGTTGACCCAATATTATTTTAAACTTTTATTACAAACATATATTAATACAAATAATTGCTGAGTTTCTTTCGCCCGTTCTTCTCAGGTCAGGGTATTTTCTTTTCCGAACCGGTGGTAGTGTCTCAAATGACCATCAATAAGAAAGTGTAATGCTTCTATATTTTGTAGTTTGAATACCGTCAGGTTAATTTATTATTTAATGATCCCAAATTTGACAAGAGCACAATAATTATGATTAATAATGTATATGATGCATTCGATATTCAATTGGATTTGAATAAATTTCTTTGGATATAAAGCTGTTTTTCATTATTTATCTCAAAATATGTCATCCCACTGGTATGACTTAAGATTATTTAAAATTTAAATCTATGGTAAATATTTTTGATTCCACTATGATTAAAGACGCACCTGTTTCCAATTTTGTCTCAACCAATTCGGTAAAGATGTTAAAATAAATAATAAAAGGTTTATTAATGATGAGATATCTACAAAGCATAAAATATAATTTAAAAGCTTAAGTTATTGCAATCGTCTTTTACGAATATGTATGTAGTCCAGTCATTTAAGCTTAAATTAGGTAAGAATCTCGGAATTCGAGATACCCAGCTGTAAGTCTGTAAATAGTTGTATATTGACACCCTAAAAGTTGTCTCAAAACCTACATATGGTAGGGTGTAAGCAACTATTAAATTTCATGGTCAAAGGTCACAAAAATCGGTTTTTTGCGCTTTTTTTGGAAATATCTATTTTCCTATGGGTTTTTTGCTATTTGTATTTATTATCAATATTGTAGAATACTAAATTCTCTACAAATTTTGTTTCAAAAATTTTTTTATACGGTGTACCGTTTTCGAGATAGAGGGCGGAGAGCGCGCGGTCACCGCATCACTTCAGGTCAACCAGTACCTCCGGTCGAAAACGCGCCATATATAGTTGATGAACTATCAATAAATCAATGATTTTAAATATTTGTCAATTTTTATGAACTATTATATTATATTTTATCATTTTTTTCCTAACTTATCCACTTTTTATTCAGTATTAATTTATTTAACAACACTTACCTGTCCATGTAATTGCAGAATTGTTAATGAGAATATAAGAATTATATTTGAATTTTAACCTAATTAATGTTAATAACTTCTTACATGATGAAAAAAAAAAAACAAATAAATTAAGAATTAATCTTTTTATTGAAAAATATCATTGAATAAATTATTTTTTTATTGAAAGTAAAAAAATGGAATAAAGGGTACAAAAACTACAATTTATAATTTTAAACATCTTCTTCCTCTTCATCGTCGTCTTCTGGCTGCTGGTAAATTTCAAACTGGTCTTCATTATCGTCTTCAACGACATTTGTTTCAAGTTCTTCCATGATTTCGGGATCAAAGGTTCCATCTTCGTTAATGTCGCTCTGATATGGTTGAGCATTGAGACAAGCTTGCCCATTACATTGGCCACAAGCTAAAGAGCATTGCAAGCCCGCTTTCCTGTATCCGCATCGCGAACCACAACCACTTTTGCAGTTGCAGAAAATTGTATTTAGCAAATTTTCTGGAGCAGGTGGTAAAATTGTCATGATAGACTTCAGAAAATCATTTCGCATTGCCCAACCCCATACCTGGGGTTCCAAATCATGTCCTAACCAAGTTTGAACTTGATAATATACACGGTTGAAATGTTGATGAGCAGCTGCACTTGTTGGTGGAATATTTGAAAGCTGCACAGGTCTATTAAGTTTTGTAGACTTGACGAAATGCGTATAACGAAGATGATCGAGACTTTTCACAGATTTCGGAGCATTATAGACTGCCAATAAGGTTTGAATAGATATAGATTTAATGCATGAAGAAAATGATAAAATATAATATAATAGTTAATAAAAATTGACAAATATTTATAATCATTGATTTATTGATAGTTCATCAACTATATATGGCGCGTTTTCGACCGGAGGTACCGGTTGACCTGAAGTGATGCGGTGACCGCGCGCTCTCCGCCCTCTATCTCGGAAACGGTACACCGTATAAAAAAAAAATTGAAACAAAATTTGTAAAGAATTTAGTATTCTACAATATTGATAATAAATACAAATAGCAAAAAACCCATAGGAAATGAGATATTTCCAAAAAAAGCACAAAAAACCGATTTTTGTGACCTTTGACCATGAAATTTAATAGTTGCTTACACCCTACCATATGTAGGTTTTGAGACAACTTTTAGGGTGTCAATATACAACTATTTACAGACTTACAGCTGGGTATCTCGAATTCCGAGGTGAACTTACTATAATGACTGGACTAATGTACGAATATATACATATACACTTTCGAAATATAAAATGTTTAATTGTAAATATGACAAAGGTTCGACCCAATCTCACTTACGCTCCGAGTCTGTATTGTCACTTTTCATTCAACATACGAACAATGTGCTTTGATGATGGTAATATCACAACCTTTACTGAAAACTAGCAATCAATATTGAATATAATGGATACAATATTAAAGTAGATAGGAATTGTCAATCAATTGTCTGTTTTACAATTAATGATATAGTGTCTTTAAATTGAATGTTGTTCATCCAGTGAAATAATCTCTATTAATAATCATTTGAATGTTTTTTGTATATTTAAGATTTTTACAAAATTCAAACAAAGAAAATTAAATTCTTCGCTAACTTTTTAATATTTCTATTTGCATGCTTATTATACATATGTGTACATATTATTATTACAACTACGTAACTAGGTAACTAGGGAACTGTAGCCTACGGTTAATAGTTTTAGATTTAACTAATGCTCAGCTCTGTTGTTGTTCAGTTACAAGTTGAATATAATAATAGTAATGACAGAGTAGAATTCTGGAAATTATTCACTGTTATTACTATTAATTCCATGCTGGAACATTAAACACAACAATGGCTACTTTAAAAAAAATGTCCCGATTTTTATTACAATATAATAAATTTGTAAAGTACATATAACTTTGTAGATCAGTATACAATCTTAGGTCCATCAATTCTTCACTTCACTTAAATATTATTTTTATCTGTACCGGATGTATCAGAATCGTTGCGAAAATTCAATTATATTTTGTACACAAAAATTATCATATCCTTATAACCTTTTGTGACATCGTACTAACAAATAAATATATTTTTGAGAAGAAAAACATGGTATGACGTATTTGTAATAACTTCAAGAAACATACTAGTAATACGTATGTAACATAAAAGTTTTTCCTTTTCTATTTTACAAAGGTACAAAATATTCTCTGACGAAATGAATAAGTTTGAGAATAATTTTCATAATTCAAGACTAGACTTCCGCAATAAACAAGGTCAATCAAACTTGACTGTATCTATATTTAAAAAAATATTTACTATCCCATTTCTTTGCAAGTCTAACATTAATCTCAGTCAAACTTTGGTTTCTTTAGTTTCTGACTATTTGTTTCTTAGCTAACACAATATATTTATTTTATTTTTTTTTTTTTGATGACGTAGTGGAAACTCTTTTTACGAGCCGTCCAACCGGCCTTGGTGGGGCCGGAAGGGATGTGTGAGGCTCGGCCTGGGCAGGCCCCTACTCACTAAAACCACTACGAAAGCCATCGGCCGCTATGTCGGTGTACCCCGGATCTGTCAGCGACAGGGCACACCAGCGACTGGCCGGTCCTGGCAAAGACCGGACTTACTCCCTCGGAGAATGGGGGCGATCCCGGCAATTAGGACCACCCCGACGACGCCGGGCTTTCAAAAGGGCCGGGTTACCACGCCGACCCCAGCCCGGAACACAGGGGTGCTATTGGAGGCGTAGGAATTGCCTCCGACGCACCCCCGTACGTCGCCTGCGGGGGGAGGGAGCATCAGCCGCCCTCTCCCTTTCCCGCTGAGATGCCTCCTTCGTGGACATGACCGTCTCACAGAAGGAGGACACCGCCAACCAGGACCCATCACTCTCGAGCATCTTCTCCACGACACTCGAAAGCGACAGGTCCACTCCGCCGAGAGCCGCCACAAGGTCTTGGCGCTGCGCAGCCCATCTCGGGCACACCTCGAGGGTGTGCTGGGCCGAGTCCACCGCAGCGCCGCACTCATGGCAGCCTTCTCCCGGCTCTCTCCTGGCCGTCCGACACAGGTAGTAACCAAAGCACCCGTGCCCGGTTAAGACCTGCGTCAGACGGAAAGTGAGGGGTTTGCGTTTCCGCCTCATCCAACGCTCTAGGACCGGGCGAAGCGCTGCCGTTGTACGTCTACCGTACGGCTGCTCCGCCAGGTCCTCCCCCCACTCCCGCATAAGGCGCTCCTCCCCCTGCCGACGAACCGCTCGGATCTCCTCCGACGAAGGGTTCTCGCCGAGTGTCCTCCTACCCGAGACATAGGAGAACAACTCGGCTCGAACCGACGCCACGAGATCCCAAGGCGGATCGCCGGCAAGGGCAGTCGCTGCGGCCCAGGAGACCGTACGGTACCCCCTAATCACCCTCACCGCAGGAGCCCTTTGCGCAGAGCGCAGCAGGGCTTTGGTCCTGCGGCTCATTGGGCGATCAGCCCAAACGGGAGCACCGTACAGGGCTATACTCCGACAGACCCCAGAGTATAGCCGCCTGCAAGCTGCGCTGGGTCCTCCGAGGTTCGGGAGGAATTTTCCCAGCGCACCTGAGCTAACACAATATATGAACTTCATAAGCATATAATGACTTTTAAATTTTTTTTTTATTAAAGTTGTAAATATAACACGTCTATATCTAGTGGTACTTGCAATGGCTTAACTGAATGGTTTATAAAATTATTCACAATTTTTAAGACCGTTTTAAATAAAAATTGCAATATAACAACTGAGCGAAATATGCACCCCTTTAAAAAAAAAAAAAAACTCTTTTACTTAGTCTATAAATCAAGTGGTTTCCGTTTTTGCGAGAAGTTTTTTTTTCTGGTAATAATTTATATTTTTCCATAATACTAAATTATTTTGTCAACCCCTTATTTTTATTACCGTCTTTCATTTTTTTACGCTATACCTTATATTATATACGAAAGTTAATATCACTTCTATAATAAAGATACAAAAAAGATTTTTGTTTTTTGCATACTACGCTTCTTTGTTATTTTATAACTGGTTAATTCTGTTGTTTTGGTTCCTTTACAGTAATCGTGATGAACTCCAATATAAAAATGTATTAAAGTCAAATATTAATTTAAAGCTTCTAAAAACTATATGCAATTTGTGTTATTCGTCGTATTTCAAATACTCTGTTAAACTATATACTAATAAAAAATACGGTTTTCTATGATTAAAATTTACATAAAGAAAATATGAGAATATTTTAATATGAAAGGTTCGCTTACTAATGCGAAAACAATGGATGAAATGTAAGTTTTAAGTATTTTAAGCATTTTAAGTATTCAGAATATAAGCCAATGGGCCATATGACTGTCATCATTCCTGGTTGACTTAATTCTGCTTTATCTCAAACAAGGCTGTGGAATTCTGAGGTATTTTTAAATCACTTCTATAACCAACATTTTACTGGTGTAAATAGAGACAATTTATTTTTGTTAAATTTAGTTTTGAAGTAAATTTTGTTTGCAAATCATTTATTTTATAGTTCAAATTGATTTGAACCGGAGCGTAATTCTATTTAACGATCCCAAATATCTCGATTTCTAGTATAAATATGCCTTCATTTTCTTTGTTTATGATTGTTAGAGATTACAGAGATTGAAGCTTTAGTTATGACCAGATTTAATAATTAATAAGCTTTATTTCATACACAAAGGAATTACCTTAACCTTTATACAAATGCTTTTGATTTTCTTAAGCTTGAAATAAATCTCAAATTCCATTAAAAATAATATGTTATAATGTAATTTGACATTATTTTATCATATAAATAGTAACATGACATTCAAATATAGCAAAAGAAATTAAAATAAGAAATAGGAAATTTTTGTACTATTAGTTTCATGATCTACAAATAAAGGATATTTTAACATTCTCAGATTCTAAAGATAAACAGGGATTAAGAATCACTATATTAATGCATCAAGCTCTCTAACACGTCATCAACAATTTAAAAATATTAAGGTTATTAAATAGACTTTAATAGATACGATTTATATTAGGCTATTCTAAAATGCATAAAAGAACTTAGATTATCTGAACAAATGTTGAACACTTACTACTAAAAACAGCAATAAACATAAGGCCATTAATGGCCATAAAATATTTTTTAACTTCAAATATAATTGAAAGTATTTCTAGTGTTGGTTAAATCTTCCTCGCAAGAGATGCTTTTAATATTACAAGGTTACGTAAAACTTACTAGTCAAGTCAGTGGTGGCCTAGTGGTTAAAAGGGGCGCTTCTCATGCATGAGAGCACGGGTTCGGTCCTAGCAAGTACCAATGTGATTTTTCCGAGTCATATGTACTTTCTGAGAGTATTTAGACATCATTGATTAATGCATTCCCAAAGAGGGTTGATGTTAGGCAGGCGGCCGGTCGAGAAAACAATTAGTCAAAAACTATTCACAACATGTAAGGCAGACCCTGGCTAAAGCTGGGAAATTACCAGGTAGAAGAAGAAGATAATAATAGAAGTTACTATTACATACCAAATACATAATACTTACCAATACGAGTACATACCAAATCAAAGGTTAGATAATAGTCGATAAGGATTTATATATGTATTATCGATTTTGCTCAGAGCAGTTATAAAAAGTTAAAAATTTTGAAAAATAAACCGTCTTAAGAATTATCTGACTTTTTACAACATAAAAGATGTTACCAATAAATAACATATCTTTGTTTACTACTTACTTAGAAAGTAACAAACGAAACAGACTATAAGACTTACTGTGATAAGAGTTGTAAGGAGGAAAAAAGGCATGACAACGTAAAGTAGGCCAATCGATAGGCCACATCCTTACGAGATAGTGATTAAAATGTATGTACTGGTTAGAGATTTGCAATTTATATTCTTTGCCTTAAAAATACCATTTCAAAGAAAATTTTATTTCCGTACATTTATAGAAGAGTTGCTTTTAAAAAGTTTATCAAAGGTCTTTTTAGTGAAAATTATTTCTTACTTTAATTCTTTCGATTTAGGAATATATTGTAGAATTTAATATTTAATGCATTTAACAGAGCTCTAATCAAATCTCAGTGATAAAGAAGTTTTCATTTATGATACAAGTTTTAACATGTGTCCCCTAACCATTCTTGACTATTTGCTATAAAACCTGTATTATTCTACCGTTAGCCGTTTTAAAATCTCTAGCAGCATTCATGAGTTTTATGTTTGAGAATTACGCTTCAAATGCCAATGGTAATGACTTCTGACCAATGAACACCGACAAAAATTTTTGATTTGTAAGACGAGTTTCTAAATTACTATAATTTCTTTTCATTAAATGTTATACAGATTTATTAAATAATCCATCAGATAAAAATGAAAAATTGTTTCAATTCAAATTAAATCTTAATTAATTATAAGATTAGAACGTCAAGTTCATGCTACAAAACATTAATTAAAGACAAAAATAGAATATGCTTATGAAAATTTTTAACTTTGCTCACATTTTATGGATTAAAAGCTGCTTCTGCAACTCTTATAAGTAAATGAACACGAGTATGTTAAATACACTATGAAATCTAGCTTGTGACATTTTACATATTGTTAAAGTTTTTCTCTCTTACAGGTAACCGGGATTGGGCTTAGCGGATAACTGTTTTAAGATGGAAGATTCAAATCATTGGAAGGAAGATTCAGGATTGGAATTGAAGATTTAGATCATTCAAATTTCAAACAAATAGATAGTTAATGGAAAATTGTTAATGAATAATTGTTAATTGTTATGCGTATAGTATGTATGTTTTGTTCGTCTCTCTAATTTTTATTATATAATTTAAATAAACCTGTAATCAGTTTTGGTATTTATAATCAATCGACATATTGTTTGGTGTAAGGTGCAGTTAGCTCATCGTGTACATCTTTTGAACATCCCTACTAATATTATAAATGCGAAAGTAACTCTGTCTGTCTGTCTGTCTGTCTGTCTGTCTGTCTGTCTGCTACGCTTTCACGCCTAAACCACTGAACTGATTTTAATGAAATTCGGTACAGAGATAGAGTTGACCTTGAGAAAGAACATAGGATAGTTTTTATCCCAGACTTTTGAAAGGTTCTCTTGGAAACGCGATATAACCGAACTCCACGCGGCGAAGCTGCGGGCGGAAAGCTAGTTTTATATAAAGATTATTTTGAATGTATATTTTTCATTATAAATTATCTCCATGAGGATCAGAATGAATTAAATTTATAAAAATTAAACTATGCTATTTACTTTTTTCTGAAGATTGTTAAATTTTGAGTATGTTCTACGATATGTTAAATGGTTGTAAAAAATTAAAAACTGATGAAGGCTATTTTGTTCATTTATATCTTATAAATACAAACATAGTTATGTACCCACAGTTAAGTGCTTACTGCTCGAAATGTATGAGATGTATCAACTTTTAATTTAATACATTTTTATATTCTTGTCATCAATAGATATATAATACTTCAGATCTACGTATTGAAAAAGATGACATTGCATTATTCTGCACCTTATATTTTTAACCACAAATTATAGTCTTAAAATTATATTACATGCACACGAACACAGTGCATCTGCAGCTTTCCGTCGGTACAGAATATAACGCGTAGATATCATAAAATTTTACGAGCGAATCTCGCCTATGAAAATCTTTAATAAAGATACTGTGAGTAAATATCATATTTAAAAAAAATGTTTCTTGAATGTTTTATAAATAGGCGTTCTTTCCGTATTTCTTTCATGATCATAAAACAAGAATTATGATGATATGTAATTTTTATATTGAAACAGTCCGTAAGATTATGTAGTGATCATTGTGTGTACGTCTTTGTAACGCAAGAAAAATCATTATAAAGTTGCACGTTTTAAAGAAAATTGTTAGTAGAATAGGGGAATATCAAAGGGCAAATAAATAGAAACAGTTCAAGTTTCATTAAAAGTAATTAAAAAAAACAAGTAGAATTAAATAAAATTATTTATAAAATCATGCTTAAAATAAACATTTTGAAAAAACGAATGAAAAAGTGTGTTATTCTTTTGAGTAAAATCTAAAAACTCCTTACAGCATCAGGGCGATGATAATTTTATGACACAGTAAAAAAAATCGTAACGAATTAACTAAACGGTAAGAGTACTTGTAAAATAAAACTGACGGTTTCAAAAGGTATAACAAATGTATCGTATCTTCATAAACAAGTAGCAGATAAAGTTATTTGTAATATACGACCTACACTCGAAAATAATTTTAATTTGTTCAATAACATATTAATTATCATGTATATAATTGTCGAATAAAATATTATTTAAAAAAAATGGTCTTTAAATGTAGGTCGTGTATTACATATTGCTTTATTTGCTACTCGCTAAAGAATATACGATATGCACAGAAAAACTATTGCTCGAAATATGCTAACATTGTTCTAAATTCATTTAATTTCCGTTTTCTTTAATGCTATCATTTCTTTATGTTTGGAAATATATAACTAATGGAAATATACATACATATTGAATATCAGGGGTCTAATAGTGGGGTCAGTCATAATTAAAGCATACTATATTTTTTCTTAAAAGAGTTTTACAAAGTTTAACATTTTCAATGCTAAATTTTGGATCAATGAGTTTTTTATCAGATAATAAAAGGATTTGTTTAATAAGGTTTGTTACTGTTTTCTATAAAAACTATTCAACGTAATTTACTGAATTGACACTTTTATAATGCGCAAAATCAGAATTACTAACGACTATATGGTATGTTTATTGGAACCGTAACTAATCACAAGCCTCAAGTCATGATTACGGACACTTATTTCTTACCTAAATTTGTTAAATCTTTATCTGTCATTAACATTAAGATTTGCGTTTAAAAGTAATACTTACTTCTTGTCAGGTTAAGATACATAGTTTAATTTTTGTACCTAATACACGCTGTGACTTAACACGCAATATTTCAATGTTATTTCGAGATGGATTTCCAGATGTGACGTTAACTTAAGATTTTAATAAATATAAATAAATTAATGTTATGTTATAGTTTTGTTCTACAATAAAAGGACCGTTATCATTTAGAAAAATGAAGTAGCTGAGATCGGGTATTATTTTCGTTAATTAAAATTGTACATGCTCCTTAATTGAACAGAGATTTCTAATAGTCAAATAAGTAACATTTTTAATACTGTCAGGTAAAAGAAATTTCTGTTATGACCGAAATTAAATTGTTACAAAGGAATTTGAAATGAATATTCATTTGAATATTTTTAAATAATAATTAATTACGTATTTTTATATTTAAATAATATCTCTGAATTCCATTCTTTAATAAAATTCACTTTGAGCGACGACTACAAGCGTATCAGATGTGGAATGTAATAAATTTTTTGAAACACTCATATTTTTACAATTTGATTAAATAGTTTAATCTAAAAATAATAATATTACGCAGGTATATATAATTATATATTTTTAGTTACACAATAATAGTGGCTAATTGTTTGTATTTAATAAATATAAATGAATTTGAGCACATCTTAATTACACTTACGTAGCTTCTTAAAATAAATCAGTACAAACCTTTTTATTATCTTGCATTTCTGAAGCTTGATAGTGTAGGTGAAGTTATCTGTGATGCACTCTCCCCCCGCAGACGTCGTACGGGGGTGCGGCGGAGGCAATTCCAACGCCTTCAACAGCACCCCTGTGATCCGGGCTGGGGTCGGCTTGGTATCCCGGCTCCACTGGAAGATTTTTGCAGGTGCTTCAAACATAATATAAATCATAATATTAATATATCATAAATTTTTACATTTGCAAAATGAGAATAAAACTCACAATAAATAACATTAAAAATAACAAATATATACCTAATTACTTATTTATCAGCAGATCTGCTTAATTATTTAAAATTAAAATGCAATATGAATCTGAAAGTTGACAAATTGATTTTCATTCATTAAAACCATAATCGACGCCAACACGCTTCAAACTTTAAATTTCGGGGAAAATGCGTCTCTGACACTTCGCAAACTATGCTATCTTGTTATGACTTGATATTTGTATTTTATATTTAGTGTTACATATAATAGTATCTATATATTTAATTAAAAAAATGCCTTTAGTTCGAGCCACACCGTAAGTAAATGTGAGGTCTTTCTATTCCACTTTTACATTTATTTTTAGACTTATAATTCTTGGTTACTTCCTAAATATTTCTATTTTAATAATGATTTGAGTGTATGTTTTTTTTCAGCATCTTTTTTCTATTGTCATAAAACAATTTTCAGTATAATGTGTTTGAGTGTATGAATTTAAAGATAGGTCTTTGAAAGGTGCGGAATTTACCAAAATTGTATAATATATGTATAATCAAATAGGAGCTTTTAATAAGTGCAATTCAACAAGTGAGAAGACCATTGATTTCGTTCTATTTTATATGTACATATTTTGGAATTTTATGAAACATGTGTACATGTAATGTACATTACATTTTGTTCACCAAAACTTAACCAACTTCAACAACTTAATGTCGCCTTAATGTTAACAATAAAATAATAATGGGAGTTTTTAAGCAGACTTCTTAATTTATACAAAAATGGAAATTTATAGGATTTAATAAAACTAAGATTTCCGGATAGACTACGCGGTTTTTATTACTTTATTAACTACTCACTCCCCATGTTTTGGTTCCTTTGCTGCAACCGTTGTTATATCACGTCACGGTCCATCAACGTCATCTTTGTTTACGTAAGGAATGATACAAAATATTTTGTTATAAAATACATACTTAATATATTTTTAATTATGATAAAATTAACCTCTATAATCGGAAAATTTAGTGTTAAAATTTTACATAAAATAACTCTCCTTTTAGCCATCAAGTATCATTTTATTTACTTGTAATACATATTATAGTTACATTATAGTACAATATACATATCTTGACTAAAATCCTTCAGCTATTACTGTAACGTCTGTCCACTGAAACTGACCAATTTCAACTCCCTTGCTTCGACGAACAGCAATGTGATTTTACCCACACCACTCGATACCCAAAGATATTAACTATAGTTTTAAAAAGTAAATATTGGAAACAATAATTACGGTGATATATGTTTGAAAGCAGATTATAATATAAAAGAAATACGTATTTGACACGTCGATGGCGACAAACAACTGTTATACTTTTCTTCCTCACATGTTAATAATAATTCCGCTAGTGTAAAAAAGGATATAAATCTCAAATCCTTACTAATATTATAAATGCGAAAGTAACTCTGTCTGTCTGTCTGTTACGCTTTCACGCCTAAACCTCTGAACTGATTTTAATGAAATTTGGTACAGAGATGACCTTGAGTTGACCTTGAGAAAGAACATAAGATAGTTTTTATCTCAGACTTTTGAAAAGTTCTCTTGGAAACGCGATATAACCGAAGTCGCGTTCGGAAAGATAGTACAACAAATAAATTTATAAGAAAAGCAGATTTTAATACGTTACTATACCAAACACTGGTTTGACATATTGATAACGACGCTACACTTTTGTAAGTCTTACTCTCACTTTTCGACAGTTAGGTACTCTTTAAATATAAAAATGATTACTTATGTACATATTTAAACAGAATAAGTATATTTAACAAGTATTTTAAAAACATATAACAATATCTTAGAATACTCATCTACAAAACTTAGTTTATTATAGTGAACAATTTGAAATCAATAGATATTGTTCTTATATAATAATTAATATATGCTCCTCCTATTTCCTTAAAGGTACCTGTGTTAAACAATTTGTATGACAAAAGGCTTTCGAATGTGGCTTACAATATGTTATTCCACAATTGGATACGGCGATACGGAGAGCGAACAATTGAAAGGGACTTTGATGAAATGTGACATCTCTGACAGAAATAAAATTTTGGGTATAAGGCAAATAATATTTGAATTTTTATATATAAAATTCTTCTGTGAGTGTGTATGTCACTGAACTTCTCTCAAGCGACTGGACTGATTTTGATGAAATTTTTTGTGTGTGTTCAAGGGGATCTGGGATTTGTTTAGATTCACAATTTTGTCCGCTGGACAATGTTTTTTTCATTAATTTTTAATTTATTAGTAGTTGTTGATACAAACGTTTTCTTTTGACATTAGATTTGACAACTCACTAATATGTCAATCATTCTGTCGCACTTCAAAACGCGGAAATTTATGGCTTTAATAGGTAAACTCCAAATATATAAATAAAAAAAGTAACAGATATTTCTTGATTACAGGGCGATACGAAGTTCGCCGGGTCATCTAGTTTTATATATATCATATATGTATTTGTATTATAATGAACATTGTCGCTTATTTTATTTTTATTGGTCAAATAATATTTTATACTTTAGTACTTAATACAGTGAAAAGTTAATAATGCTATTAGAAAGGGTCCTTAGTTTTTTATTTGTTTAGAAATATCTTTTTAACTTGGTAACAAATTAAGCACTAATATAGTACTCCTAATAGCAATATACCTCAAGGTCTCATAAATAAAGTAAACGCAATATGAGGATTGAAATAAAACTTTTATTTAAGATTAAGTACATCATTGTTTTTTATGAATATCAAAATTTTAGAGAAAAAGTTAGAGGTAAGATATTATTCGGTACTCGTAGGTAATAGAAATTATTAAAATATATAACACTGTATATTTAATAATAATTGAACTAGTTTTAACGTTAAATAGATAAGTTTCATATGAAAACTTATAAAATGTTATATATAAAATACGTATATTCCATGTCGTATTAAAGCCAAAATGGTTAGCATCATCTGACATATGTGTGACATTTTTTTTATTCACAGTCAGTCAGTCAGCTTTCTTAGATCTCCAAAATTTTGCCTCTTTATCAGTGAGTAATAAAATATTGTACTTATTCGTTCATAATAATTATGATGATAATCATCTCAGCTATTATGTTTATAAATTATTCTGTATCTTAATAACTGAATAACTAATAATTCATTATAATATTTAGTTGCGATTCTTTATTGTTTTAAGGTCTTTATCTATTTGATAGTGAGACGAGACGAAACTACTCAGCATTCCATGGATTCACCGTGCGGGTGCCGGGTCCATCGCGTTGCAGGGAGAGGAGCTTCAACAGTGCCTGGGACTTGCGACCCAAGTGTAGGTTTAAGGGGCCCCTTAACAAACGCGCGTTATACGCTCACCTCCACTGTCCAAGCTCCTCTCCCTACCTAACCAAATTTGAAAAGAACCTACTAGGGCTGCCTTCGATGTACGTTCCAAGAATGCATTAATGTGAGTTCTGGACAAGCCCAAGTCTTTTAGTAGGTTGTAGAGAGATTTCGCTGTTATACCTCTCGCTCCCACCTCTACCGAGTACAAATCTACTACGAACCTATTTCGAGTGAGTTCGTTTGTGAGCTCGTAATATTTGTTGACCTTGATGGTATGGTCTTTGGGGATGTTGGTTTCCCAAGGGACCGTAAGCTCTATCATCACTACGCGCTTTAAAATTCGCGAAAACAAAAATATATCCGGTCTGGAGGCCGACGCACAAATATCCTCGGGGATTTTATATTGTTTTTCATACGTGTCCATCATTATAGTCCAATCCGACGCCGCTTTAAGGATGGAGTAAGGCTTGACGTTTGATTTTGTAGCCCTAGTGCCTTCTATCACAAAACCTACTGATTGTTCGTTTGTGGTTATTTCCTTTTGCGCTCTGGCTACCGAAAGACTAACCGCTTCACGTATGACTTCTAGAACCCTATCGTGACGACGCGAGTATTGACCGCTGTCCAGGAGTACCCTACATCCCACCAGCAGATGCTTAGCAGTTCCAACTGCCTTTCCACAGATATAGCAAGTTTTTTCGGTACTTTTACCCCATCTTACTAAATTACTCTGATCTGGGAGAGTCATCTGGAACGCATTGAGATAGAATTTTAGCAATGCTGGCGACCAATCATAAATTAAAGTGCGCCATTTTAATGCTAATGGGATGCAAAAATCTCCTATGTCTAACCACTTGTTCTGCATTTCTAAATTCATTGCATGGATCTTATATTTATCATTCTCGTCTTGCCGAATAAAAGACTTCAATATATCCGCATCTTGGACTTAAACAATGCAATACGCCCGTACTGTTTGATTACTTTATTCGCAATAAATTAAATTAGACAAATACAATGTATTTGAATTTGAATGTGTGAGGGTTGTTTGTCTGTTAAAGTGATTGAGTGCTGTAAATAATATTAGACAAAGATCTTTTTTTTTGATGACGCAGGGAAACTCTTTTTACGAGTCGTCCAACCGGCCTTGGTGGGACCGGAAGGGATGTGTGGGGCTCGGCCTGGGGAGGCCCCTACTCACTTAAACCACTGCGAAAGCCATCGGCCGCTATGTCGGTGTACCGCGGATCGTTAGACAGAGATCTTGATATTTATCTAATTACTACAAAATTGTCAACCCAGACCATAAAGGCATGAAAACATTGGACCCTGATTTCCTTATTAATAGCTATTTAAGTAATGATGCACACAATATTATATAACCGTTGCTGTTTTTAGAAATAATATTATTTTAACACTGACATTTTCTATTACATTTTTCACGGAAACCATTAATTTAATAATGACCATTATGAGTATTTAAAAAGATTCTATACAGCATTTTCAACCAAAGAATCTGTAGATTTGAAAGATCATAAAAGTAAAGAAAATATACCTACATAGTTATTTATCTGTCTGTCCTTTTGTTAACACAAACTCTTTGAAATTTCATTGTTTTAGGAATTTATCACATTTACTAAGAGAGCAGAAGATCTCAGCGATTCACCAAATCATCGTTTTCACCAAATCATCGAACTAGTCATCGTTTGTGAAAATATTATAATTTGCATGAGTACGCCACGTATATATACATCTTTATATGTAGTTGTAATATATGTTAAAATATTTTCGTCAAGGCTGGTTGTACTCTAATACAGAATCACAGTAACAGTAGAGAATCCGTTTGATTCCAACAAGGCAACATGCGATACATCGTTATTAACGCAGTTTACATCCACTTACAATGAAAAAGAAGAAGAAGAATATTTTGAAAGTTACGACTCGGAAGATTAAAATTCACTACTTGTTTTTTAACTTAAATTGCTTTTATCTTTTCAATCTCTGCTAATGTCCATTAATGCCATTATTTTTCAATAGTTTTCATATTACGACGATTACAACTTTTTGAATCGTTATATCTCAAAAACGGTGGCTCGTCGAAAAAAAGTATTAATTAATTATTTGTAGATAATTTTATGATCTACAATTTTTGGATGAGATATTTTTATGATAAAACTTTCCGTTTTACTGAAAATCGCGAAAAACTCATTTTGTTTACCTTTGACCTTGAATAAAAAAATTTCCTTACAGGGGAAAGATGGGGAACTTTCAAATTTTGTTTTTAATGATATTTCAAAGAATCTTACCGATTTTCAGCTTGGTGGGAATTTATGTAACCTTGAATGTCTAATTTGACCGGACTAAAGCCCCTACATAAATTAATTAGTAATTTACGCATTCATGGATGTCAAAAAATTGCTTAATATATTACCTTTATGGGTAAGGGTTTTAAGGATTAAATATGAATTAAATATATAATATCTGTAATAAACTAAAACGTAGTGATTAAAGAGTGTTTTGGTTGTAATTTTTCATGATAGTATATTATATTTTCTTGATTTCTTAATACCAGAATTTTCAAGTCTATGTAGGAAAGATATGAACCTAGCTAATAACATTTTTTTTTTCATGTGTTTCAGCATTCGACTTAATAGAGGCATGTTACGTACGCGTTACATATGAAGAAAAAAATGAACATCGCCTGGGCAACATCTTTGTATCTGAAAAATATCGTATGACGAGTGACGCCGCTGACTCCGCGGAGCCAACACCAAGCCGTGTGAACCAGAAGATTCCACATACCACAAAAGCAATAGAATGCCATAGTCTTCCTAACATCGGGGCAATCATGTAGTTTTAGGTATAGGTTATAAGTTTTAACATGTAATTCTAATTTTAATATACATATAAGTATGTTTCGTAGTTTTCCTGGAACCTCCGGTTGCCACCCTATATAATTGGCACAAAAACAATAATATTCAATGGTATCATAATTTATCAATTCGCAGCAAAAATAAACAACACACAAAGATACGTTTTTCCTTTATCTTCTTCAATTAGTACTTCTTCTGAGTTTTATGTTCAATTGTGAGTCGAACCGTAAGACTTGGTATAGTTGGAATAAGGTTTTATTGTTTGTTTCTTTTTCAACTTTTACGTAATGTCGTTTATCATTTTATATATTAATATTATGATATCAAATAATAATTATGTAGAATGTGTATGAAAACTGTTGTTTCATACAACCATATTAACACTTGTGAAACTTCAAATATCAATAATTACTTTAACAGGCATTTTACAGACAATAAAGTAGTTTTATTTTAGAAAGTACTTTTTTTGTCAAAATAAAGTGGTGATGATAAATTTAATTTAACTTCTGGAAAATATAATTAAACGAAAATTAATATTGTAAGTATCATATTTTTCTATCGATGTAGATCTGTTTGTATTTTTAAGTAGATAAAAGAAAAAATGTGAGCAATATCTAACTTCAAAGGACTGGGCTGGATATTACAAAAATGTTTGTGCTCATCAGACGCCGACACTAGCGGAAATGTTGACAACCTTTGTTAAGGCGCGGAAATTACGTCGTGGAGTTCTAACAGCCATAAGCATAATATATACAATTGAAAGAAAAAACTATATAAAAGGAGATAATGAAAGAAATGACACATCCCAAGAAAAAATGAAACCTGTAGAAGTTTCTTAAGGAAGAAAGAATAGTATAAAATGATACGATTGTTGTCATCTTTTTGTCATTCAAAGTCAAAAAGTATTTTATTTTACTCGATTATATTCAAGGTATAATCTTATGTTTAATTCAGTTATCCAATTTTCCCATGAAAAATTTTCATATAAAGTGTTGGAAATTAGAATGAAATGTCTTTAAAATCAATTTCGCCTTTTTATCAATTTTAATAATGTTTTAACTTTAGTATAGGTATCTTATTATCCACTGAACTTTTCTTGAACTGTGATTATAAATATGTACAAATTATATTTCAAGGATGAAAATGACAAATATACCGTTATATTAATTGCATGCAATACTCAGTTTTTATGCGTTGGCCGACATGAGAAGGTAATATTTAAAAATATGTATAGCATTCAAGAATCCTTTGTATAAAACAAATGTGAGGTAAATAAATTGAAAATTAAATAAAAGAGTACTTATAATGAAATTTACAAATTTAAAATATATAGATGGTTTTTTAGCTTTCAATAGTGACGTCATTTTATCTGAAATACACACCTATGCTAACGTAACCATTAAATTATTATCAACTAGCTTTTGCCCGCGACTTCGTCCGCATGGAATAGTGACTTCCGGCAGAAAAGTATAGATAGCTGTGCCCTCGACTCCGTCAGCGTGTAACTCCTTGTATATTAAGTTAATGTATTGGTAATATTTATTATTATTATTTATATTGGTAATGGTTTAGATCACGTTCACATGAGGCTTAACCCTTTGAGACACAGAACTTAAAAATATTTATTGGTTTTAAACTTTATAATAATGTGCTAAGGTTCAAATTCTGATGGCAATACCTTGTAACTTTAAAGTAGGCATGAAAGGACCTTCTGAGATTTGTTGAGCGCCAAAGGATGTCATTTGAAATCCACTATTATAAGTGCGAATATTATCTAAAAACTGTTGTATAAGTATGTTCCCTTAAAAGAAATGATTTCAAAGGTTCCCCTGGGTCGTCGAATGAAGACAAATATATTTTACTTCAGAAAAACAGAAATCAACTGATTCTTTACTCCACTTTGAAGCATTACAAAAACGACATACCACGTTCATATAGCCTATTAAAGAAAATGATCCCTAATCAATTGTGAGGTTAGAAGCAAACGCACTTTTATATTTGTCGAATCACACCACAGAATTTCTAGCTTGATCTTCTATGTGTATATCTAAATTATTAAGGCTTTGTCGAAATCACTCTACCGTAAGACGGGCCTCTCGCTGTTCGTCCTTTTCAAAAGACCGAATATTTTCAATTCTTAATCTTTCATTAGATAAACTTGCTAATAGTTCTTGTTTCAAAGAATTGTAATATTCGTATACCAACTCTAGTCGTTGTTCATGCCCATGTTCAACTTCGAGAGATCGAATAATATTATGGTGCACCCTATCATTTGTCAAACGGTCTTCTTATTGAGTATAAGTTTCAGATTCCCGAGATAAAATATGACGTTCGCGGTCAGCTGTGAGACGCAATTCTCGTTGTGACGCATTTTCAGCATCTCGGGATAACACGTGTTGTTCTCGGTCAGTGGTAAGCCTCAGCTCTCGTTGAGAAGAGCTTTGAGACGCCCGTGATGTAGCTCGTCTCACTCTGTCAGCTGCTAATCGCATCTCTCTCTCTGGAGAGCTTTCATCGGCTCGAGAGGTTGAGGCATTAACTCTCATAGAGTTATCCGGTATGCTCTTTCCTCTGCCGATTCTTGAGAACGCGCATATCTCATCCTTTTAGCATCTCTCGAATTTCGAGATAAAGATGGTGTTTTTTTAGGTGGTATTATGTATTTTTAATCGACGGTTACTGAAGCTACCTTACACTTACAATTATATATAGTATAAAACGACACAAATTTACTCTTTGCAAACAATTTGAAAGCATAACTGAATTTTTAAGACAGAGACAATAGTTTATCCTATGATAAACTTTGATTAGTCTATACTAATGTAGTCACACAAATGCCAAACTCAGCTTATGTATCGAGCACTATAATAAATAAAAGTTTAGACAACATAAAGAGACATTTACGTTTTCATTAACATATAAAATGAATCTTAGAAATTGTTAAGATTAATTAGTGAAGGAATTGTAATGTTTTCTTTTTAAGTTATAATAATAT